CCGGCAAGGCGACTCGAGCATGCATACATTCCTTGTCATTCAAGACTGATCTGAGGCAGTCCATTTCATGTGTTTTGCATGCTGGCTTATTTATTTTAGTTAATTTGTTAATTAATTAGGGTTGTGTAATAATTAGTTGTAATTCGTTATTCATTCAGTTGTGTATTATTTATTCGGACCCTCCGAGGAGGGCAATGTTGTAATAAGTGTGCATGTGTGTGATGTATGTCTTTCAACCCTAGGTCTTTCTCCCTTTTATTTACCAGCTTATGGTGGTTAGTTTTAGGGCACGTTTAAATTAGCATCCTTATGCTTGTATGTTTGCATCCATTCATATGTTTTGCATGCATCGGGCTCGGCGCATCATGCTAACTGCATTGTATTTCAATTCCAAGTTGAATACATGCATCGATTGTTGCATCTCATATGCCATCTTAGAATAGTCGAGCCTATTGTAGTTGCATTTCTGCATGTGTTGCATTAGGCATCTCAGCATAGTTAAGATTCATGCATGTTTTCTAATTAGCTTCTTTCTTTGGCTCGGAGTACTCGGTAAGTGTTTATGCTTTAGCATCCTTGCATGCGTGTGAGTGACTGCCATGATAGCATGCTTACCATGAGGCTATGTGCTTATGTGATATAACTGCCTGAATGCCTGTGGGTGAAGGTTGGGTTGCTTGAGTTGGAATAATTCGTTGAAACCCGTGTTTTAGCCTACTTGCGAGTAGCAAACTTCAATCCACTTTCAAAATAAACGGATATGCGATGCTTTGTTACAACTTAGGCAACCCTGTCTATACTTGTATGTTGTGTGCATCACATAATAATTCTAGGCTAATAACCGGAATAAGAGCACATAATGTTTTCAAAACTCGATATCATGGTTAGTAGAGGCCGATCTTTGATCGGGCGAGCGGGGGTGCTCACGAAGTGACCTTCCCCAATCGTACCCAAGTTTCCGAGCCAAGGCAACTTTTGTGATGACGGACACATGGCCTTAGGCACGAGTCAGGGTTTCCTAAACTCTCCAAAATAAAATATTTAGGTGGCGACTCTGTATATGGCAAAGCAGTCCATGTTTGGCACTTCTTTCTAAGAATCAGTTTTTCAAAACGATTTGCCGGACTTGGACTCTTTGATGATTCATCGGTCTTGCATTGCGCTCTGCGAGATTAGATACAGGACCGTGACATTGAGTCCGAACTGTAGTGAGCCCAACGAACAAAACAGGATTTTTTCCGGGACGTTCGGGGACGTCTACAGTTTCTGGCAACTCTGCTGGGGATTTAGAGAGCTTGACTCAAACTCATGATATCTTGTTTTGATTACACTTATGTGTTTCTTTGCATTTCATTTGCATTGGTGTGCCTAGGACACCGTGTTTGCCATCTGCTATTCTTGGACGGTTTGCCGGAGGCTCACTTTGAGAAGCGTGCCATAAGGCTGACCGGTTACGGGCTCTGCCACGATGGGAACACAAACCCCGATTTTTACCGGGGCACCCTTTTTAACCATTCGACCTACTGCATATTCGTAATTCATAGTGACCATTCCAAGTTAGGATAGGTTGCTTACCCGATTGTAGGTTGTGTGAACGGGGACGAGGGCGTGGGCGAGGATGAGGTCAAGGTCATGGTTGAGGTCGTGATCCAGTTTCGGTAGAATATGATATCCCCAGTGCCAGTCAAAGTCGAAGCCGAAGCCAAAGACGAGTTCAAGGTTATGATATGCCTGACATTGCTGTGGAGGATGCCTCTTTACCTGATTTTCCTCCTGTCCAGGAAGAGGACCTTACTCATGCTTTTTCAGGTGGACCAACTGATCCATCAATACTACGGAGTTTCAATAGTCATGTCACTGCAGCTGTTTGGCACGAGAAGGTAAACATTCCTGAGTAGAAGTGACATTCATTTGTATATGAATTTTTTTTCCTGTGTGTGTTGTATGGTAGTTTCTAATGAGATATTATTTGTGTTATAGGAATGAGGGCCCCTAAAGTGTCATAATCACTCTTTGAAGATCCTTGCATGGCCATGGTGGTCAATAGACAACAACACCAGATTCAAAACCATTATTGAGCAGTCTGGGCTGTCACAGTTAGCTCGTTGCACTTATCGGTTCGTCAACAAGCTTCTAATCTCCAGTTTTGTTGAGAGATGGCAACCTGAGACAAACACATTTCATATGACAGTTGGTGAGATGACCTTGACCCTGGATAATGTTGGCATTATTCTTAGCCTTCCCATTGTAGGCAAATCAGTTAGCGTACCAGATGTGACAGATCATCTTGGAGTTACACTACTGGTTTATGGCTTGGGGATTACTGAATGTGCAGCACATGAAGAGGTTTCTTTTGCTAGTGGCAATTCAGTCAGGCTTGAGTGGTTGTGAAGTTAGTTTGCTGGTGTCACAGATTCAGACCCTGAGGAGGCTATACAGTGTGCTGCTAGAGCTTATTTGTTGTTTCTATTGGGATGTACACTCTTCAGTGACAAGAGTGATGGCTGGGTTCCTGTTGTTTACCTTGGCTTATTGGTGGATTTGGGATCCATATATACTTACGCCTGGGATCCATATATACTTACGCCTGGGGTGCTGCTGCATTAGCATTTTTATATAGACAGTTGGGGTATGCTAGCCGGTCCGGGGTTAAGCAGATGGGTGGTTATATGACTCCTTTGGAGGCGTGGATTTATGAGCACTTCCGAGCATTTCGACCTCACCAGAACATGGGCTACAATGAAGACATGCCGCACGTGTACCATTGGGCATCTAGGAGAGAGGCGGGTTCCTCCATTGATCATTTGAAATCTTTTCGAGCCGAGCTTGACAGTTTGGTAGCTACTGATGTAAGTTTACTCATCCTGAGATAATTTTAACACTTTCTATTTATCTTACCCTTTATATACTTTAATTCAAAAACACTTTACGTTTACAGGTTATTTGGGATCCATACCACAGCTGCAGAGACCGACATCCATGTAACCCGGTTACATTCTACCATGGATGCTTAAAGTGCTTAGATGTTGTCGAACCCTACCATCCAGATAGAGTTCTGAGGCAGTTTGGCAGGGTTCAAACCATTCCAGATGCACTGCTAGCTCCCAGTCGTGGTGCTCAAGGCAACATATCTGCACGATATACAGTCATGTATAGATACTTGGATAGGATCTGGGAGGCTTGGGATAACCACGTGTTATCTGAGCAACGGAGGAGCACACCAGTTCGTCAGCCTTGGGAATGTGTACCGGGTTACATGGATTGGTATAAGAATATCACGCACCTATATGTTGAGCACACTGATGAATCGCGTGTCTATGACCATCAGGATTTCAGCCAACATGCCGATGTAATATATTATCCTCTCTTATGCATTTGTAACTTACTTTTTATTTTCTGATATGTTCCCTAAAATGTGATAGTCTTTTCAAATGCAGCGTATTGCACATGCACTGCAGATTTCACATCCTATTATTGACGCTGGTTATGAGGATGGGATTCGACATCCTTATCGACTTTACCAGGCTATCGAGAGTATGACGCATGTCCTTCAAGGTCAGCACATTGATGAATCTGGACCTAGTTCCGCTAGACCTAGTTATACTAGAGGTCCCTTTCTATCTTCGACATTAACAAACAGTCGTAGGCGTAGGCGTAGGCATATAACTGATTTGTGACATGTTATTTGTTAGTTGATGATTTTTTTTTTTTGGTGTTTTTTGTAAGATGATATTGTTGTAATGGTAACAGTGGTTAATATTTTCTTACTAGAATAGAATGGCAACAATGGTATTGTAATGGCATTGTAATGACATTTTATTATTAGAATGGAATGGTAACAATGGTCGTTGATTTTGTAAATGATATTTTCTTATTACAATGGAATGGTAACAATGGTCGATAACATTCAATCCACATTGCAAAACAGAACACATCAACATCAAAAACACATCCATTAATTTCTTCCATAATTCTAACATTGTCAAATGCATACATGTGTCATGCGACATCAACAACATCAAATGTCTCTCGAGTAGCTACATTATCATGAATAATGTCCTTGAAATGTTGAATGCGACTCACATATGCATCATCCCAGTCAACAGCGCAAGGGTGACGGTATTTTCACCAATTAGTGGCTATAGGAGGAACTGGATGGCTTGGCTGCAGCAAAACCTACACCAAATATCAATTGAGTTAGTGGTCATACCTCATAACTTCTTGTACATGCACAAACCTAAGTTTCTGTTATACTTGGACGAAATGATTTTCGTTGACAAACCCAATAGCAATCTCACATCCATCAAGTTGAGGTACTGGCACTGTTCGAAGAGGTAAAAAGGTGAGACATTGCTGTAATGACAAGTGGTATAACACAAGATTGTAGCACGATGTAACTAGATGCCCCATGTCTGGCATAGTCATCCAATGTGTGTATCCAGGACTATTTTCAAAGTATGACAATATACTTGTCAATTCTTCAAACCTTTCGTACGACCCATAAAGTGTAATGTATTCCTCTTTGTGTGTGTGCAGCTCACCTAACAGATCACGCCTAACCTGAGCCCAATCATCTTCTGTATGACCAATTGAAGCAGCTATAGCCTTGAAACCACAATTCCCATCTGCAGACAAACTTAATGTATGGTTTCAACCCAGAAGGGAAAGCATCAACATATGCACCAGGTTTGACTGTTCTAGTAATGTATACCTTCCCTTTCGGATTCACCTTCTCCTTTCCCTTAACAGGTCGCTTCTTCTTGGTTTGCAGAGTAGAAGCTAATGTAGTGATTTGAGTGTCCCTAGGTGAGAAGGAATCATGTCCAGATTGCACCAACTCAAATGCACACGGGTCACGACGGGTAGAAACATTGATCTTCTTATGATCCCGAGGACGCGTTTTGGGCTTCACCTCCGGCTCAACAAGAAATGTGCTTTCCGGATATACAATCTCTTTCAACTTCTTCAAAAGCTCCAACCGCATGGTTCTATCACTTTCATTAAACTTGTTCACAAATAACTCTACTTCTGCATGACAAGTCTATTTCCTCTTCTTTCTTGCATATAGAGATATGAAGTTGCCTCCACTGTGAGTGTATGGTAGCAAGTGAAATAGAACGATCTTGTCTGATGTAGTCAGCAATCTCATGGGCACAAGGTAAACCATGAGTGTGGCAAAGGACACATCCACAAGCTTCAACATCAATACCAATTGAATTGGCTCTCTTACTCTCTACAAGCAAATACTCCAATGCAGAGATAGACACATTACCCCGTAGCTCCCTGAACTGAGAAGGTTTAAATTGATGTTGCACAACAGTTTGACTTTTCTCAAATGAAGCCTTGATATCAGTGTGTTTCAACTTAAGCTGACTGTGTATTTTCTCAAATGATGCCTGAAATGAGACTTGACATGAACCCAATTGTCTTTTAAGTTTTGCATGTGCACTCTCAGCCCTGTTCAATTCAATGCAAGTCAAATTAAAATCAAGTACATGGCACTTATTAATAACATATTGACGAAAAGTAATCTTACCGGTTCGTTGTAACATTGCCACAATGCATACACGTGTCTGTCCATGTCGCCACAAATTTGTCCTTGTAAGGAACCAACCAAGTATCCATGACGTATTTGACTGCATCAGGATAACTACTGAATTCTTTAAGTAATGATTTAAGACGCTCATCGTATTGAATTTCAGAAGGTGAATACACTAAAGAGTTCCACTCATGGTTGAACTTCTCCCATTTCTGTTGTGTCTTAAACATTTTCTTGCATTTGGTCAATACATTCTTACTAATATGCCAACGACATAATAAATGTCTGGCACTCGGGAATATCTTATGTATGGCATTCATCAAGGCTAGCTCTCTGTCAGTAACAATAATTGTTGGCACAACAAACCCATCAATGACATCACGCAATGTAGCTAACACCCACACATAGTTATCAACCCTCTCATATTGTAAGTATGGAAAGCTACAGAGAATGTTGTTTCAGTTGATGTCACTCTCACAATTTCAAGAAGAGAAAGACGATATCTGTTGGTTTTATATGTGCAATCCATAATTAATATACGTGGGAAAGACCGAAATAAGTCCAAACTGGTAGGATGTGCCCAAAACAAGTCTGTCACAGTCATCGTGGACTCTTCAGACCGATGGCGCTCAATGTAATTATACTTGGCCAATTCACCCAATAAGTGTTGTATCTGTGATCTTCCAGCTCTCTGTACCACCCTGTTTCGATGGTGTACATTGTAAATGGTTTTAAGTGTGCTTACATTGAGGGCATCTCGCTGTTTCAACGTTACTAGGATTTCTTTCGGCCGAACCATGCTCTTTGACATATCCATTAACAATGCTTTCTCATCCTTTGATAGCCTCCCCGCATATGAATGTCCCTTAAGGTGCTCCGCAGGTGGATGATTATGCAATCTACATACTACGGTCAATGTCCATTCATCATGTGTGGTAAACCTGTGAGCCCTCATATCAAACAGATAACCACACTTCTTCGTACCGGTTATTCTTGATGTATTGTTGCTATCATGTTTTAACTTCTTTGTCGCCCTATATTGGCCACTTCTCTCACAAGCAAGATACATCCTGGGTCTTTCTTTCCCTCCACCATAGTCTGATGTTTTGATTACAATGACCGAACCATTTCTCTTTCCAACTTCACGTACCCAATTGAGCAATTCATTCTTACTTTTGAATACCTACAAAGTCAAATAAATATTATCAAACATTTACATTTGGTGAGCAATTCGAAATATAATCATTATAATTTCGTAGAGTGAACCTGTTCAGTTGTGAATTGAGTAGTGTAATCCAACACAAAATCCGCGCAAACCTGACTTCCTTGAGTTGACATATATTCCTACATGTTTTGTATAACATTAAAAATTTTTAATGGCATTATAAAGATTAATTTGCAATTCGAAACTGTAAATTTGGTATGCAGTTTACAAATTTGGAATATAAAATGGGAATTTTTTTTTTTACTTCATTCGGAAGTAGTTGTCCGAATTTATTTTAAAATTTTGGAAGTTGAATGTTGTAAAATTAACTTTGTTCAGACAACAACTTCCGAATTTAAATACTTTGTTCGGACAACAATTTCCGAAAATAAATACTTATTTCGGTACTAGATTTCCGAACCAAATAATACAATTCAACTCTGGTTATCCGAACGACACTGGAAAAAAAAGAAAAGAAAGAGAAGCTCACATTTCCTTCACTATGTTTCTCATAAACACTTATTTGCTGATTTTCAGAAGGCAAATCCTCCATAACAATGATGCTTTCCCTATGAATGAGGAAGGTTGATAAATAAGTGCATTGAGAAGCTACGAATACTCTGCTTTCACTTCTAGCTCAATGAAGCTACAAACTTGGAGACGTTTTGAATTGGATGGATATGTGCACGATGCAACATATGTGGACTTTAGATGGATGTGTGCATTGAGATGTTTTGAATCAACAATGATGTCTAAAATAGTAATTTCACTTAGGGATAAAATTGTAATAAAATTAAATATTATTAAGTGTGTGTATAGAGGGGATTTGGTGTGTGTAGATAGAAGCTCCCATATTTTTCACTTCATTTTTCTCATGGCACGTTTTTGACATATTTAATGCTTAAGAAAAATTGTAAAATAAGTGAGACAGCTATAGACTAATTGCACTATAAATATATATTTTTTAGTGTAACTTCTAACATACAAAAAAAAAAAAAAAAAAAAAAAAAAAAATTAAGGATGCCAATCAATAGTAGTAAACACGAAAATGGATTCATACCATACATAAAGAAAACTTGCATTACTAACAAAATTAAATTATTTCTCCACTACTCCACTAAAATACAATTTCTCCTAATGTTTAAATGAAATCTTGTTTATAATCCAATATTTATTATTTTTCTTACCTTTTCCATTCAAGTCAACATGAAAAGCTGTTTGGCTGAGTTTTATAATTTATTTTTTTAAAAAAAAACTAAAACTAATTTGATGGAAAAAAAATACTCATATTTTCATATGACTTTTACTTTTTGGAAAAAAATAAATTTTAAAAAATTAAAAATATATTTGTTAGTGTTTATTTTTCAAACTACCATTTCTTTTGAAAAAATTGTTGAAAAGTCCAATCTAACAATTGCGTAAGGCGTTAGGTCTAATGGATAATTTTTATTGGTGGGAGGTCAATCATTTGTGAAATAGTTTGGTAAGAAATCCTTTTATTGTTTTGGAGGATATTTTATTTTCAATTTTACCTCTTAATATATATGTTAATTTTTTTTGACCATTTGTTTAATTTTTGTAACGACTTGTTCAAATATTTTGTTTATTTGTTTAATTTTTTGACTATCTATTCAATTTTTTCCTTATTTGTTCAAATATTTGTCTAAATTTTATTATCTGCACAATTTTTTCGCTTATTTAAATCTATTTGTCCAAATTTTATTATTTGTTCAAAAATTTTTTTTCCATGAATTCTATTTGTTGATTTTTTATCTGTTCAAATCTTTGTTATTGAAATACACCAAGCCACGTTGAACAAATCTGTTCAATAACAACAATTTTTGTTTATTTGTTTACTCTAAATTTTTTTTATCTGTGCACTGATTAAAGAACACAAGACCAAATTGAATCTATCTGTCAAAAATGAAGAACACAAGACCAAACGTTCTCTCTCTTTCTCTCTCTAATTTGGGCTCCTTCTTTCAAATCCAAAACCCTAATTCTCAACCACCACCACCACCACCACAACAACAAAAAAGAAAAAAAATATATATGTAATTAGATCATCAACAATAACAAGCCATATAAAAAATTAAAAAAAAAAACACTATTTATTGAAATATCTGTTAAAATTTTGAATAGATTTGCGTCACAGTTGGTCTTATCTATCAACAATATAGATCTGTTCAAATTCAACTTTGTATTTAAACATCGATCTGTTCCAATTCAATACCGATTTGTTCAAATTCAACTTTTTCAGCACACATTTGTTCAATTCACACACAGATTTGTGATATATACACGTATCTAATCTTCATAAAGTAACAAATCCAGGCGAAGAAAATTGATATCTACACGCGCATATACACACACGTATATATATATATTTAGAGAGAGAGAGAGAGAGAGAGAGAGAGAGAGAGAGAAATGTGAGAAATGGTTTTGTTTGCGGCAAACTCTGATTTGAATTTCGCTTTGGCTTTGGATATGGAGATCACGAAGGAAGATGTGGTAGCTATGGTGGCGGCTGCGGTGGAGAGGATAGAAAGTCTTACTTCACCGCCATCACTCTCGTTTCTGCCTTCTTTGCAGCAGTAGAGTCCATCGTCGCTATGCACCTAGAGATCTACATTTGGTGGCTTCGGGAACAGCTAGTGGCGTTCTTGGGCCAACGATTGTCACCAAAGTGGAGGGCGGCAAAGAAGCGACGAAGAATAGTGGTGTTGGGGGACTGATAGATCGAGATGAAGAAAGGAGATAGAGAAGAAGAACGTCACGATTGCTATCAAAGTGAAGAACGATGATGAAGCAATGAAAGGCGGTGTTGTTGAAGAAAGAGATATATTGAATTGTGTGTGAGAGAGAGAGAGTTGTGATGACCGGGCATGTAACCCATCTCATCTTTCTTTTATTTGTGATTAGCTTACTCATGTTAGAAGTGTTAGGGATTAATTTGAGGTCTTGTCGACCATTTGGGTTCATCGTCCTTGAAACTTTCTTTAGATTATTGTCTTGATTTTATTCTTGAGTTAGGTTTCGCTTGTTTCAAAAGGCATGACATTGGATCAGGGGTGTCTCGGTTTCAACCAATGCAAATTCTGGTTGGAGGGTAGAACCGTACGTGCGGGGGCTTGGGTCGCACGTGCGAAAGTGGGGCTACATGTGTTGTAGGTTAGGCTGTATGAGAGGTGAGATGAGGTAGCAGATGGTGCAAGGCTGCTTTAATTGAACGTGTGGAGGAAGGTGCGGGAAACAGACCGCACGTGCCAGGAAAGGATCTGCATGTGCGGACAGGGGCGTGCTGTACGTTAGAAAAAAGGTGCGCACGTGTAGAAAGTGTTGAGTCCAAATTTTTTTCCCCTTTTCTTCTCCTTGGGCTGAGTGTATCTCACTTTTCTTTCATCTCTCTCTCTCTCTCTAAAACACATTTCTCTTTCTCTTTACTTTTCTCATACCAAACTACATTAAACCCTTGATTTCTTCAAACCCATTAAAGTTTTGACCCTAGTCCCTTCATCAAAGTTGGAGAACTCTTCGAGGGCTACATTTTGTACGGTGGAGATCGGGTTTCAACACCGTTAAATTTGGGGGTTTTCTTCTATCTCCTTCTCCAAGGCTTGAAGTAGGGATTTCTTAGAGTTATATATATATATATATATATATTTGCAAGTCTATGCTTATTGGGAGCTTCCTTGTATTTGAACTTGTGATTTTGATTTGTATACTCCAAACGATTTTTTTTTTATTAGAAAAAATGGGTTTTCCTTATATTCTCAAAATTTTGGAGAGTATGAGCAATGTTGTGTGTGTGTTGCTTAGGTAACGCCCTTTTAACAAAATGGAAAAGAGCAAGTTTTGGTAAAACCCTAGAAATTTGGGGATTTTGGAAAAAAAAAATGTTGAGATATGATGAAAGTTATGATTTATAAAGTATTATGGTGTATAAATTGTAAAGGATTGCCATGTTGTATTTAAATGAGGAAATTCTTGGAAACATAAGAAATGTTGAATTTGGATGCTTGATATATATAGTATATCATTGAATTGTCTTGAAATGGCTAAGTTGAAATAGTTGATTAACATGTGGAGGATGCATGTAAATGGTATTGTTATTTACCACTTGATGGGTTTATTATGAAATTTCCATGTGAAGCAGTATGAAAATTTTGATCACAATAGAAGATTGTGTGGTGGAAATTGAGATTGGAATTATTCAAGTACATTGTTGCATATCGCATTGCCATTCCATTTCATTTATTATCATCGATGTAGAATTTCAATTAAAAACTATTGTTTTGAGAAAATAATTATTTTGAGACTGGAAATTGACTTGTCAAACAAGATCATATCGATTTTCTTTGAGGTAAATACATTGGTAAGTCCGTATAGGGGGTGTAGATGGTATTGGTTAAGTTGGCTTGAGTGTCCATGGTGAAAGACTGAAAACACGCATGGAGGAGGTACCGAGCGCCTTTCGGTTAGCTACTGGTAAAGTGGGGATTTGGTAGTGCTTGTTAAGCCTACTTACAGACACCAACTTAGGGATTACTTGAGTCGTATTTACCGACCTTATTAATTACATTGAAATCGTTAAAAATGTTGATTCCTCATAATTGCATTGAGCATGAAGGTTTTCAAAAGATAAAGATATATGTTGTTTTGAAAATGGCATAGCATGTGCATTTATCTCGTGAGATTTTATAAAATATATATACTTTGTTAAGTTTTCTTACTAGGCCTTGTCCTCAGTCCTATGGGATTTTGTTTAGGAAAAGATGTGGTGATTCTGCCGAGTTAGAGGCGTGCGATATGTTTTGAGAGCATGAGGATCTTTCCTTTTGTTAAAGTTATTTTTGCAAGCCAAGGGCTTTATGTGTATGGGTTGGAACCATTTTTGTGCAACCAGGCTTAAGCCTTGGAAATTATAACCCTTTAGGGCATTTAACTGTATTTGAACTACTATGCCACATGCTATAGATTCCAATGCTAGGGATGTTGAATGTATATTTGTATGTGGAATACCTTTTGTAAATCTCTTAATGATCAATGAATACAAATGTTGGAGATTGTAGATGATTTTAACCTTGAACACTTACTCATGTTTATATTTAAAAATGGGAGCTGGTGAATATTTATTGTGAAAATTTTCGGGCCGTGACAACTTGGTATCAGAGCTACCGGGTTTGAATACTTAGGTCTTGCGGGAAGTGGTGGTTTATCCACAATGGGTTCATTTCGCTTAAGTAGGATATGTTCCATGTATTAAGTGTTATGTGATAACATGTTTATATGACTAGATGGGTATGAAATTGAACTTTTGAGATGTGGTTTGCGCCTACAAAATTCCTTGAGGTCTTATTAGAAGGGTAGTTGATCAATACTCATTCGACTAAGAATTCTTGGTGTTTCGTAGGACAAATCTCATTGTAAAGGAGTGATCCGTATGCACTTATGTGATTATATGCTTATGTGGGGATGAAACTATTTGTGTTATGGAAATATATAAAATTATTGTGATAAGATGTATGAGATAAGTTACAGGAACATTTGAGTTTGTGTGCTAATTGTTTACTTTTATCATTAATTAGGATGTTAGGGAGAGGTCAAGCCCATGGTGGTAGAGGCGGAAGGCGTGGTAGGCCTTGCCGAGGTGTGCATGAAGTGCCGGTTCATGAGATCCTGATACATGAGAAAGGTTTCGGCCAAGAAAATGCAACCGAGCAAGGAGACCAAGAAAATGTGGTCGAGCCAATGGGACAAGCGAGAGTCCCGGGACAAGTGGGTCAAACCGCAATAGGCGCCCCATCTTGAGAGATGGTGGGGGCTTTGAGGGAGTCAATGAACATTTTGAGGGTGAAGAACCAAGCCTGAGAGAATGCCGTAGAGTCAAGGGTGAGTTTTCTTACTCGGGAATTTTTGCGGGCCAAGTTGGATGAGTTTCATGGTGGCCCCGAGCCTAATAAGGCGGATGAGTGGCTCGAGCAAACGGTGAAAACATTTGAGATGCTTCACATAGATGATAGAAAGCTAAGGGTGATTCTAGCGAGTTACTACCTCAAAGGAGATGTTGGCCAGTGGTGGAAGCATGCCAAGGGTAGAGTGGAGCCGACATGGGAAGCTTTTATCATTGCTTTCCAAGACAAGTATCTACCTCCCACTGCTAAGGAGAGATTGAGGCAAGAATTTCAAAACCTCAAACAACTTAACTTGTCCATGGCCGAGTTCGAAACGGCCTTCACTAGTTCGTCTCAGTTTGCACTGGAGTTGGTTGCAACGAAGGAGCGTTGTTGCATAAGTTTGATAACAAAGATTTTGTTTAAGGTTGCCAGGAATATGATCCGGAACTATGACCTTCTTGTGGAGGCGACATCACATTAGAGATTACCATGTAGGCCGATGAGGAGAGACTTCGAAGTTCGAGGTCTAGGGGCCAGGAGTCACAGGGGGACTTTAGACCTAGCAAGAAGAACATGGGCACTTCTTTATTCCATCCCTAGTCACATCAGTCTAGATCTACCTTTCTCTTGCCAAGTGATGGTGAGGGAAGAAACGCTCAGGGGAGCTTTACTTGTTTCAAATGTGGCCAACCGAGTCACAAGGCCAATTTCTGCCTATAGAAGAGAGGAGGGTAGTAGATGTTACCACCGCAACCACCTAAATGATCTCAGAGTCAGTTCTAGAGTAGAGGGCAAGGACTTACTTGCTTTTAGTGTGGTCAGTCGGGGCACTTGAAGAGAGCTTGTCCACAGTTAGAAGGCAGATCTGGCACATCAAGGTCGAGGTAGACTTAAAGCCATCAACAGGCTCATTCAATTTAGACTCCACGAGCTAATGAAGGAGCCGCTTCAGCTCAGTCAACTCAGCAGGGCTATGCTCTGAGAGATGAGCAAGTTGATCAGAGGCCACAGGGGCGCATATATGCTGTTACAGTGCTTGAGCAGTTGCCAGGGTCCTCAGTTGTGAGAGGTATTTTTATTGTGTGCAATTCTTTGGCTAATGTGTTGATAGATATGGGTGCGTCGCATTCATTTATATCTTCTGCTTTTGCTTCTGCATTGAGGTTAGAGGTGGCTTAATTAGCGTCTCTACTCAGGGTAGAGTCACTAGTTTGAGTTAAAGTTGACTTGGACCGGGGGTGTCATGGTTGTGAGATAGAGGTTGTCGAGCGCTGACTTCCTTTTGTATTTGTGTTGCTAGATATGTCGAGTTTGGATGTTATCTTCAGCATGGATTGGTTGTCTTCGTATTGTGTTGTTATTGACTATTATCGTCAGAGGGTTACGGTGTGCACCTCAAGTGGTGACTGTTTTTATTTTCTAGAGAACCGGGCCAATAGAATGTTATCGCCAGTATATGACCCTCGCAGTAGAGGGAGGGCTTAGTTATCGTCTTGCAACTCTCTTAGATAGTGAGAGTGATGGGGTCCGAGCAGAATTACTGAGGGCAATTTGTGAATACCCGTATGTCTTTTCCGAGGATCTCACTAGTTTGCCACCCCACCGGGAAATCGAGTTCTCCATTGACTTAGTACCTGGCACGACACCAATTTCCATGGCACCGTATAGGTGTGCGCCCGTAGAATTGCATGAGTTGAAGATTCAAATC